GCGGTGGTGCAGAAGGAGCTGATCGTTCACCTCGAAGATTCGCGAGCCTGACAACGTGTGGGCAAATACGTGGCTTTTTCGGCTTGACACGGGGATCAAGGAGAAGGTTCCGAGTAGGTCGGGCCTCAGTCTTCTTCTTCAACTAGGAGGGCAAGCTCCCTTCCATCAGCGCACCGTCGAGAAGGTCCTCCTCCTCTGCGGTCAGCGCCATGGCCGACTTGGGCAAATCCCATCCCTCCCCTGCCAGTGCGCCGCTGGTTGGGGCGATGCGCTTGTAGTCAATCAGTCTGCTGTTTTTGCGGTTTGGGGGGGTGAGGGGGGGAAGGGGGGGGGAGGTGAATAATCCATGTGGGGTCGTTGGGTTCCCGCTGAGTTTATCGTTGGCTTGGGGGAGTCAATGGGTTCCCGTTGAGTTTATCGTTGGCTTGGGGGAGTCAATGGGTTCCCGTTGAGTTTATCGTTGGCTTGGGGGAATCAATGGGTTCCCGTTGAGTTTATCGTTGGCTTGGGGGAATCAATGGGTTCCCGCTGAGTTTATCGTTGGCTTGGGGGAGTCAATGGGTTCCCGTTGAGTTTATCGTTGCCTTGGGGGAATCAATGGGTTCCCGCTGAGTTTATCGTTGGCTTGGGGGAATCAATGGGCTCTCGTTGAGTTTATCGTTGCCTTGGGGGAGTCAATGGGTTCCCGCTGAGTTTATCGTTGGCTTGGGGGAATCAATGGGTTCCCGTTGAGTTTATCGTTGGCTTGGGGGAATCAATGGGTTCCCGCTGAGTTTATCGTTGGCTTGGGGGAATCAATGGGTTCCCGTTGAGTTTATCGTTGGCTTGGGGGAATCAATGGGTTCCCGTTGAGTTTATCGTTGGCTTGGGGGAATCAATGGGTTCCCGCTGAGTTTATCGTTGGCTTGGGGGAGTCAATGGGTTCCCGCTGAGTTTATCGTTGGCTTGGGAGAATCAATGGGTTCCCGTTGAGTTTATCGTTGGCTTGGGAGAATCAATGGGTTCCCGTTGAGTTTATCGTTGGCTTGGGAGAATCAATGGGTTCCCGTTGAGTTTATCGTTGGGAGAAAAAACGCTGCCTGCCCAGCCACGGCCGCTTTGCGCCCGAGTCGCCGCATGTCACGAGGTCTGGCACGCGGTCTGGCACCCCCAAAGACCTTGGTCACGCTGTCCGGTCACCTCACGTAACTCCAACAACAAATACGATGCGAGGAGCGTTCTCGACAGCCGGAGCTGTCCTTGTGGTGCTGTGTGTGACTGTGGTGTGCGTGGCCAACGGGTTTACGCTGCGGAGCCTGGCGGTGGGCGCGGTGGGTGAGGGTGGCGATGCCAACGGCGGCTCCGACTGTGCCGCGTGCACCATCATTGTGGGCCTGCTGGAGCAAAAGGCCGTGGTCGATGCCAAATCCATCGAGAACGTGCTGGATGAGGTCTGTGGGTTCTTCCCCGCCGGTGCTGTCCAGGCCGCCTGCAAGTTCCTCGTCGACACGTACACGCCCGACCTGCTGCGCCTGCTCGAGGAGAAGGCCACGCCCGACGAGGTCTGCAAGGAGTTCCGCATGTGCACGGGCTTCCCCGAGTGCCACCTCTATCCGCTGCCGACCGACAAGGCACGGGTGACCAACGAGGTGCGGAGCGAGCTCTCGCCGCGGGTGGCGGCGGCGTACGCCGCGGGCGAGACCCCCATCGACTGGCTCAAGCACCTCATCAACGTCGTCGGCAACCTTCACGAGCCGCTCGTCGACTTTGACGACGACAAGTTTGGCACCGAGTCGACGCTTCGCGGCACCTCGTGGCGCGGCGCGGACTGCCACGACGTCGAGGCCGATGTTTACCCAGGCCGCGCCGCCTCGTCGCATCCGCCCACCGTCGACCACAACTGCAACGGCATCCTCGGCGTCAACCCGGAGACCGGCGGCGCATGGGAGGACGAGCTGTGCGGCGGCGAGCATGCCGGGCTCGGGCTCATTGTGGCCGGCGACTCGGTCACCGCCAACTTTGGCCTCCCGCCGCAGTACTTTAACGCTGCTCACCTCAACGGCACCACGTTCAAGGCCAAGCCCGACGTCATGTGGCGGCTGGAGAACGAGTTTGATCACCCGTACCGCTCGTGGGGCACCGGCTTTGCCAACGTCACCTACCACGGCTACCCGGACACCGTCTCGGTCTACTCGCACATGCTCGAGCGCAACCTCTGCATGCATCGCGACTTTCAGAACACCGGCGTCAACGGCGCCCGGTCCGGCGCCGAGGCCGGCGGTTCGCATCCGCTCATCAAGGACATTGCGCGCAACCAGAAGACCGACAAGCCCGTCCTCTTCATCCTCGACCAGGCCGGCAACGACGTGTGCAACTCGCGGACCGCCGTCGACCACATGACCTCAGCCGCCCAGTTTAAGGCCAACTACCTCGAGATGCTCGAGTTCCTCGACGCCACCCTGCCCGCCGGCTCGCACGTCGTGCTCATGGGCCTTGCCCAGGGCACCGTCCTCTACGACACCATGCACAACCGGACTCACCCCATCGGCGTCCCGTATACCTCGGTCTACTCCTTCCTCAACTGTCTGCAGATCTCGCCCTGCGCCGGCTGGCTCAACACCAACGCCTCCATCCGCGCCGCCACCCAGGCCCATGCCGACCTGCTTTCGTCCACGCTGGAGGCCCTCGTTGCCAACGTCTCGGGCAACTACGCCAACTTTGACATGACCTACATCTCCTTCTCCACCCTCATCAACGACCTCTTTGACACCCTCCCACCTTCAGAGCACTACACGCTCATCAACCCGGTCGACTCGTTCCACCCGGCCCAGATTGCCGCGCCCGTCCTCGGCCGCATCGTTTGGGACCACATCCCCGACGAGTTCAAGCCGGCTGTCAACCCGAACAACGCCAAGATTGCTGCCCTCTTTGGTGATCAGGGTGGCTACAAGTTTACCGTGGGTGGCGATTGAGTTAGCAAACAAGCCCCAGTCTGTTCTTTCATTGACCCTGCTCACCCCCGCTCACAGTGGTAGCCTCGACGTCAAATAGACTCGAGAGCGACGGCCGCGTTGACGAGTCCATCGGCGTCGACGGCACATACTCCGAGGTACTTTGCGTGGGAAGCTCGCGCATGGAGACACCCCGCCTCTTGCCAGAAGTCGCAGGCGTGATCAACGACGACGAACCTCCAGACGAGTTGGTCGAGAGGACCGCCACCACGTGCCGCTTGGCCACCGGCCAGACCATGACGTCACGCCAGATGTAAAACTGAACAAAGGCAGCAACGGTGTCAAATATCACCCACCGGACGAGGAGGCACCCGATCCACGACCCGAGGATGGTCGAGGTTGTGAACCGCTCGCTGTACGACGCCGCCACGCCGACCACAGAGCCGGCGAGCATGACCACAAGCGCAAAGGCAAACTCGGCCGCGGCGCACACAATGCCGCCCACAAACACAAGGCCGCGAAGCCGCTCCAACCGTGCGCTTCGCGACCGGAGCAGCGCCCGCATGACCGGTGTGCCAAAGACGAGCGAGAGCGCCCAGCCGACAAAGAGCGAGGCGATAAACACAAGGATCCGCCCGCCGGTAGTCTCCGCAACCTGTGCAAAGTGAGAGGCGTTGGTGAGTGGAACGGTGACGACGGCGACGAGCATGGCGCCCGATGACAGCGCCAGCGCCACCAACCGCCCGCCGCGCGAGTACGGATCAGCCGAGCCGCGTGGCATGACCAGCATGCCCACGACCGCGTGCGTCGCTCGGAGCTTTGCCCACACGTTACGGGCTGGAACAAGCCCGTCCATCCGCTCCGAGTCGAGACTCGAGACCTTGAGCACCTTGCGGCGCTTGATGAGGGTGGTGATTGCGAGCGCGACAAAGATAACTGTCACGATTGCGATGGTGTACGACGCAGGGTCGGCCGCCGACGCCAGCGCCGCCGCGGTGCCAACCGCTGCCGGCGGCAGGAGTTCGCAACGCGACGGTTCGCCCGTCGAGCCGCCTGCGCACTCCCAGCCAGACTCTGTCGCGCATTTGGCGCAGCCGTCGCCAGCGATCAGGTTGTAGTCGTCGCAGTCTTCGCCGTCCTCGATGATGCCGTTGCCACAGGTAGCTGGGCAATCAAAAAGCCCGCTGTCGCCGGTGGCGTCGACAACTGCGCCGGCCATGCATGTCGGGCTCACCTGTTGGTGGGTCACGTTTGCCAGGCCGAGCACCACGTTGCCACACAGCCGCGACGAGCCAGTCAGCACGATACCCGCCGGCTCGCCAGTCTCAATGCACGCGATTCCGGCACCAGCAGTGCTGCCGTTGTTGCTCACAAAGTGGATGTTGGCCGCAGCACCGGCTCCCAACGTCCCGCCGAGCAGCAGCGCTGTGCCGTAGTTCTCCGAAATAGTCACCATCGATAGCGTCGAATCGGACGACGGACCGACGTAGACAACGGCAGAGCCTGCAGTCGGCGCGCGGTTGTTGGCCAGCCGCGACTCGACAAGGTCGACCGACGCGTTGGTCCCGAGGCGGATGATCGACTGTGATCCGCTGAACACGTGCTCTTCCACCACTAGCCCGCGCAGCATCAGCCGCGTGCCCGACGACGGCGACCGCTCGGCAGAGACGGCCGCGCCGCCCGATCCAGCCGTGCTCGCGCCTCCGTCGGCACCCGACCCACGGACCGCAGGGTTGTTCTCGGCGAGTGCGTTGCGCGCAAAGGTGAGGTACGCAACAAGCCCGCCACCGCCGGCGTGCAGCCCGCCGCCACGCGGCGCCGTGTTGCCAGTCACACTCCCGCCAATGATGGTGACGTTGGCACCAGCGAGGAGTGCGAGGCCGCCGCCGAGCCCACTCGCGCTGTTGCCCTCGACTGTGATGTGTGCCAGCGAGGCGTGCGCAAGGCTTGGGCCGGTGGCGCGGACGCACACGCCGCCGCCGTTGGCAGCAGCGTTGCGGGCGAGACGGGAGGTGTCGAGCTGGAGCGCGGGTCCGGCGTTGGTCATTGCCAGCCCGCCGCCGCAGCCGCCGGCCACGTTGTCTTCGAGCGTAGTCCCGGTCACGGCCATGGCGCCGGTCACCGAACGGAACTCGAGTCCGCCGCCGTCGGCAGCCGCCGAGTTTCGGGAAAACATGTTGAGCGCGAGGACCGGCTCCGAGTTGTGGGCGATGGCCGATGGCCCGATGAGCGCTCCGCCACCGCGAGCCGCCGTGTTGCCCTCAAACGTGCAACTGGAGACTTTGGTAGTCGCCGCAGTCCACGAGGCGAGGGCAAGGCCACCGCCACCGTCGGCCGCATCAGTACCGCCTGCGATGTTGCCAGTCACCGCCACCCGTTCGACGACGATCGAGTCGGCCCCGACGGCATGGATGCCGCCGCCAGAGCCACCACTTGCGTCGTTCGGCGCAACCGAGCTGTCGGCGACACTCAGACTCGCGCCCACCCGGACGTCCAGCCCGCCGCCGGAGTCGCTTGCCACGTTGGCGGTGACGTTGACGGCGGTCAGCTGAGTGGAGCTGCCTGCGCCGAGCGCGAGCGCACCGCCAGACCCGCCGCTTGCTTGGTTGGAACCAAGCGTGGTGTTGGAGACGCGGAACGTGGCGAGGCGAGCATACACGCCACCGCCGCCAATCGCCCCGCCTGCGACATTGTGCTCCAGAACTGAGGCCGAGATGGTGACGTCGGAGGCGGTGGCAGCGCCCGAGGCGGCAGGCGGTGTAACAGCGACAGCGCCACCGGGTCCGCTGGCCGAGTTGTGGGCAAAGCGAGGTCGGAGACGACCACGTTCTGCGCCTCGACGACAGCGAGGGCGCCGCCGGCAGCAGCGGCATTGTGCTCCAGCCGCGAGCTGGTGAGCGAGACCTGCTGCGCCGCAGAGGTGGCGGTCAGGTGGATAGCGCCACCGTAGCTGTCGGCGGTGTTGCCCACCAGCTCCGATTGGGTGAGTGAGAGAGCCGCTGAAGCGACGTGGATGCCGGCGCCGGAGCCTGGGGAGGAATTGCCAGTAATGTTGAGGGTTCCACCGGTGACGGCGGCGTCGGTAAAGGCGCCGAGCGCACCACCGGTGTTGTGCACAAAGGTGGATGCAGCAAAAGAGGCGATGGCGCCGGAAGAGGCACCCGCGGCAGCAGCCGGGCCTGGGGCAGAGTTTCCCTCAAAGTGGCAGTTGGAGACTGCGGCGCGGGTGCCGACCAAAGCGACGGCGCCGCCGCGGTCTGCCGAGGCACCCGACGCCGAGTTGGCAGAAATGTGCAGCTTGTCGAGGACGACAGTCTGGGCGATAGAGACCGCGGCCGGCGACGAGGCGGTGGCGAGGATGGCCGCGCCGTATCCGGCCGAGTTGGCCGAGAACGTTGATGAGCGGATCGTGACCGGATCCGCGCTCGAGGAGGCGACGCCATCAATAGCGAGCGCGGCGCCGGCGACCGACGCCGAGTTGCCGACAAATGTGCAATTCTCGATGGTGGCGGCCGAGTTAAACAACGCCAGACCAGCGCCGGTACCAGCAAGAGCATCGCCAGTGGTGGCGATGACATTGTTCTCGAAGCGGAGATTGACCAGGCGTGGCGAGCCGCCACGAACAAGCAGACCGGCACCACGGCCCATCTCGCCCATGCCCGAGCCTATGAGATGAGCACCTCGGAAGATGACGTTGTGAAGAACAGCATCGGAATTGTCAAGAATGAGGGCACGCGAAGGCGGCGGATCGGCAGAGCAATCAAAGATGACGCCAAAGGGTGTAAGCGGTGAAATGACGAGACCACCGACCCCAATGGTGATTCCCGAGCCGCAGCCTGTGTACGTCCCGTCGGCGAGCACGATCTCGTCTCCGAACGATGCCAGAGCCAGCAAGGTCTTGACCAATGTCAGCGAACAACAGGGAATGTTGATAATGGCCGCAGCAGTCATCGTTGGCACAAGGACGAGCGCCAGGGCCACCACCAAGACGACCACCTTCATTTTGTTCTTCTCTTAGGGTATT